ATCAGTTAATGGACATCTAGGTTGATTCATATATTTTCTATTGTGAATCGATCTGCTATAGTCATATCTGAGGAATCACCATTATGTTTTTAATAAAAATTGTACCAATTTGCATTCTCACCAACAGTGTATTAGTGTACCTTTTTCTGTACAACCTTGCCAGTATTTGTGATTTTTTTGTTTTTGGATAATAGCTATGCTAACTGGGATGAGATGATAACTCATTGTAGTTTTTATTTCCATTTCACTGATGGTAAGTGCCCTGAGCATTTTTTCATGTACATGTTGGTCATTTGTATTTCATACTTTGAAGAGTACGTGTTTGTATCCTTTGCCCATTTTTTAGCTGGATGATTTTTGTTTTATTCTTATAGTTCTTGAGCCCTGTGTACATTCTGGGTATTAATCCTTTATTAGTTGCATAGTTTGCAAATGTTTTCTCCCATTCTATCAGTTACTCATTCTGTTGGGTGTTTCCTTTGCAGTGCAGAAGACTCTGCTTGATGTAATCCCATTTGTTTATTTTTGCTTTAATGGACTGTGCTTCTGGGATTTATCAGAGTCTTTGCCTATACCAATGTCTTGCAGAATTTCCCCAATTTTTTCTCTAGTAATTTGATGGTATCAGATCATAGATTTAGATCCTTGATCTATTTTGAGTTGATTTTTGTATAAGATGTAAGAGGGATCTTGTTTCAAACTTCTGCATGCAGTGATCCAATTTTCCTGTACCATTTGTTGAACATAATTTCTTTTCTCCAGGGATTGATTTTAGCACATTTGTCAAAGATCAGTTGTTTGTAGATGTGTGGATAAATTTCTGGAGTTTCAATTATGTCCCAAAGCTCTACATGTCTATTTTTTTTTGCCAGTATCAGGCTGTTTTGATTACAACTGCTCTGCAGTATGTCTTAAAATCTGATATTGTGATGCCTCCAGTTTTGTTTTTGTTGTATAAGATTACTTTAGCTATTCAGGGTCTCTTGTGTTACCATATGAATTTTAGCATCATTTTTTCAAGACTTGAGAAGAATTTCATTGATATTTTGATTGAGATCACACTGAATCTCTAAATTGCTTTTGGTAGTATGGACATTTTAGTGAAATTAGTTCTTCTAATCACTGTACATGAAAGATTTTTCCAGTTTTGGTCTTCTTAAATTTCTATCATTAATGCTTTATAATTTTCATTGCAGAGATTGTTCACCTCCTTGGTTAAATTTATTCCATGATATTTTTATTTTTTGTAGCTATTGTAAATGAGACTGATCTTAGAAGTACTTTCTCAGCCATGACATTGTCTGTGTATACAAAGGCTATTGATTTTTATGTGTTGATTTTATATCCTGCAAATTTACCAAACTCTCTTTTGAGTTCCAATAGTCTTTTACTGAAGTCTTTTGATTCCTCTATAAATAGAATCATGCATCTGCAAACAAGGATAATTTGACTTCCACCTTTCCAATTTCTATCCATTTAATTTCTTTTTCTTTCCAAATGTTTCTGGCTAAATCTTCTAAAACTGTGTTGAATATCAGTGGTGAAAGTGGGCATCCTTTTCTATTCCACATGTCAGTGGATATGCTTCCAATTTTCCATATTCAGTGTGATGCTGATTGTGGTGTTCTCATGCATTGCCTGGATTGTGTTGATGGATTTTCCTTCTATACCAAATTTGCATAAGGTTTTTATCATGAAGGGATATTGTATTTTATCAACTGATTTATCTACATCTATCCAGATAATCATATGGTTTTTATTCTTCAATTTGTTAGTATGATGCATCACATTTATTAATTTGCATATGTTGAAACATCCTTGCATACTAGGGATAAATGCAACTTGATCCAGGTGAATGATCTTTCTGATGTGTTATTGGATCCAATCAGCTAGAATTTTGCTGAAGATTATTGCATCTATGTTCATCAGCAGTATTTTCTACAGTTCTCTTTATTTCATGTTTCTGTTTCCTTTGTGGTCAGAAAAGATACATGATTTGATTTCAGTTTGTTTTTTTTAATTTGCTGAAACTTGCTTTATGCTTTAGCATATAGTCTATACTAGAGAAAGTCCCATACACTGATGAAATTAATATGTTTTTTTTTTTTGCAAATGTGAGATGAAATGTTCTGTAGAAATTAGTTAGGTCAGTTTGGTGTGGGGAGCAACTGGGAGCAACTCGGACTAGACTAAGTTACTGGAATTAAGACTTATTCTATGCATCTGCTCTCCCACAATATGGCACTGGGAGAGGAGGAAACAGCTTCTACACAGCTGCCTCCAGTTCAACCAATAAACAGCAGGACCTGCTCCTGATTGGAAGAGAGCAGCGTACTCGGCGTGTGGGTAGCAGAGTTGGGATTGGTGGAAGAGGACTATAAAGGAGGAGAGAGACAACATGCACCAGGAACATCTAAGGGGAACATCTATCTGAAGGAACACCTGTGCAACCCCCGAGAGAGCCGGCCGGCGGTGTGCCGCTCCCCTGCGGAAGTGGGGAAAGTGGCCAGGGGGAACTGCCCTTCCACGGAGGTGGAAGGGACAGCAGCCAACCCGGGAAGAACCAGCAGCAAACCCGGGGAGGGCCGAGCAGACAAAAGAACAGCGCAGGGTCCTGTGTCGTTCCTCCGCGAAGAGGGGGAGCGACAGTTTGGTCCATATGTCCATGGTGTAGATTAAATCTGTTGTTTCTTTGTTGATTTTCTGTCTAGCTAATCTGTCCATTGATGAAATGTAGTGTTGAAGTCCTACATTCCTATTTTATTGGAGTCTATGTCTCCCTGTTAACATTTGACTTTAATAGCCAAGTGTCCTGGCATTGGGTGCATATTCATTTATTATAGCCACATTTTCCTGTTGTATTAATCCCTTAATTATTTCATAATACCTTGTCTCTTTTGACAGCTTTTGTATTAAAGTCTATTTTTTTCTGATATTAGGATAGTTATACCTGCTCATTTTTACTCTCTATTAGCATGGAATGACTTTTTTCCATCCTTTCACTTTCAGAATATGTACATTTTGGTTGGTGAGATGTGCTTGTTTTAGGCAGCCAATAGATGGGTCTTTTTTTTTTTTTATATCCATTCAGCCTGTGTCTTTTAATTAGAGAATTAGGCTATTTACACTCAAGGTTATTATTGGTAAGTAAGGACTTGGCCCTGACATTTTCCTTAAGTATCCCTATTGTTTACTTTGGATTTCTTTTGTGCTTTTACTAAGGATTACTTGCCTTCACATTCTTTCATAATTAATGACTATCATTCTCTGTTTCTGTGTGTTGCACATCTTTAAGAATCATTTTTAAAGCTGGACACTTGATGACAAATTCTATTTCTGTTTCTTTGGAAGGTCTTTATTTCACCTTCATTTATATTTTACTGGGTAGAGTATTCTGGGTTGACAGCTTCTTTTAGGACTTGGACCATGTCTCTTCATTTTTATGTAACCTATAGGGATACTGATTTGAAATCAGCTATGATTCTATTTGAGGATCCTCTGAAGGTATTCTGGTGTTTCTCTAATGCACATTTTTGAATCTTTTCTTTATGATTTACCATTAAGAGTTGACTACAATATGTCATGGTTAATACTTTTCTTTTCTATTAATTTAATTTAATCTAATTTAATTTATATTGTATTTAAGGTAAACAATTTCATGTACTTTATATATACAGATTTAGGAATACAGTGACACCTCCCACTATATACTCCTTCCCTCCATGCTTCTACCCTTCCACCTGCTTCCTCTCTTATTCCATTTCTTAATTTTTACAATGATCTATGACCTTTTCTAATCATATCTGTTATGACTTCTATGTACTTCCCATACTTGGATGTCCCTTTTTTTAAAAATTTTATTTATTTGAAAGACACAGTTACAGAGAGAGGTACAGACAGAGAGAGGTCTTCCATTCGTTGGTTCACTTTCCAGATGGCTGCAACGACTGGAGCTGAGCTAATCCAAAGCCAGGTGCCTTCTCCTGGTCTCCAACATCTGGTCTCTGACGTCTGGTCTCCGACGTGAGTGCAGGGGCCCAAAGGACTTGGGCCATCTGCCACTGCTTTCCCAGGCCACAGCAGAGAGCTGGATCAGAAGAGGAGCAGCCGGGACTAGAGTCGGTGCCCAATGGGATGCCAGTGCTTCAGGCCAGGGCTTTAACCCACTGTGCCACAGTGCTGGCCCCATACTTGGATGTCACTTTTTTCTCTAAATTAAGGAAGATTTCTGCTATCATTTCACTGAGAAGGTCTTCTAGTCCATTCTCTTTTTCCATACCTTCAGGAACCCCTAAGAAATGAATTATTCATTTGATATTATCCCATAAATCTTAAACACTTTTCTATTTTTATTATTTTTCTTCTTTTTTGTCTTTTTCCAAGATTTTTGCTTCTAGTTCAGATATTCTTTCTTCTGTTTCACCAAGTCTGTTTTTGAGGCTTTCTACTGTATTTTCTATTTGACATTTTAAAGTTCTTCATTTCTAATATTTTAGATTGATTTCTCTTCAATATTTTTATCTCTTGGCAAAATTTTTCAGCTATATCTTGTATTGATTTCTTTATCTCCTGAATTTATTTCTCAGTTTTTCTGAGTAATCTTCTGATCATTCTTTTGAATTCATTTTTAGGCATTTCATCAATTATTTTGTCTTCAAATTCTATTATTGAATTTTTGTTATGTTACTTTTGGGGAGTGGTATTGTCTTCTTTGTTCTTGTTTCTCATATTTCCAAATTTATTTTTAGGTATTTGTGGAAATATTTTTGCTTTTCTCCTATGATGCCTTTTATCTTTGAATTGTGCCTATTTGGCTTAATGGAGTGCATGCACCTTCAGTAGATATCCAGAGGCTTGTGCTGGATGGGGCCAGGATTCTCTGGTCAGTACTCAATGGTGGGATGAGTGTCCAGGGTGACACCCAGGATGGGCACTGTAAATCTTTATTGTTGGCAAGGGGCAGGGTATGATCATGTCTGCTGGCATAAGCATGTACTTACCTCCTCTCTTCCAAGGTGATAAATGCCTGGGTTATCTCACGTGGTTATAACCACTGTCCATGCAGGAACATGAACCTCAGAAGCAATCCGTGCAGTTCTCAGTTCGAGCAGAGATTCTTCTACAATGAGCCATTTCAGGTAGTTGGGGAACTCTGAGCCTCTGAAGTCAGACATAGTGATTGCTCAAAGACCTAGTGACACCCATGCCCTGTTGTGCAGTCACAGAATTCCCACAGTCATAATGCATAAGGCTCCCAGAGTCGCAAGGTTCCATTCTCAGTCCTGCAATCCTGCCCCATCCACTGAGACAGCAGAGGTCATCCCAGAGCCAGCTGCCTGTGGATGTTCCACTTTGGCAGTTTGAGCCCCAGAGCCTGTGATGTGGTGGGGAGGTGGGAATACCTCACAGTCCTAAGTGGGTACCCAGCTCTGTGCCAATACTCCAGACAATGAATCTCCCTGATTGGGGTTGGGTGTTAAGGGCAACCTCTTGATAACCGATGATGGCATTAAACAGGATAACACTTGGATCTTATAGTCACCAAGCCCTGAATAATCTTGCAGATCTTATCAGGCCTATGTGATGATAGCAATGATACACACTGAAAGTCCCCCAATGCTATGGTAATTGTAGTCAGTACCAGCACTGACCTGGGGGTATTCTCCTTCAGGCTTCATCAAGTTCGTAAAGTGAGTCTAGGAGCCGGAGCCATGGCTCACTTGGTTAATCCTCTGCCTGCGGCGCCGGCATCCCATATGGGTGCCAGGTACTATTCCTGGTTGCTCCTCTTCCGGTACAGTGATCTGCTGTGGCCCGAGAGGGCAGTGGAGGATGGCCCAAGTTCTTGGGCCCTACACCCGCATGGGAGACCAGGAGGAAGCACCTGGCTCCTGGCTTCGGATCGGCACAGTGCGTCAGACGCAGCAGCCATTTGGGGGGTGAACCAACGGAAAGAAGACCTTTCTGTCTCTTTGTCTAACTCTGCCTGTAAAATAAAATAAAAAAAAAGTGAGTCCGGCTCTGAGCACCCACGTAGAATACTAAATTATCTTTCCTGCTCGACTCTCCAGAAGTTGGAACCTTCCTCAACTTTCTCTTGGAAAAGTAGTGCTGGAGGTGGTTCTTTAGCTGACTGGCTTGAGGGAGTTCAGACTCAGACTCCTCTGGCCAGCAATGATTTTATCATTATATGCTTCAGGCTAGGTTTCAGGTCTATGGTGTTGACTTACTTCCCTTTTCCTATCCAAGTAAGTGTCAAGAAATAAGTTTCTGAGCTATGCTTCTTGAGCTAGGAGAGGAATGACATTGGAAACTTTTTCCTTCTTATATTATTTTCATTATTGCTGTCATTATGTTTATATGTCCAGACACCGTGGTCTCTCACTTGGCTTCTATAGCTCTTGTGAATTGACAGCTCTTGTGAGCTCTTGTGAATAAATGTTCAAATTGGTTTCCCTTTGGCAAAGATGGTTGTGCTGGAACATCAACTCAGCCACCATCTTATTTCCTCTCTCCCTTATTGATTTTATCGAGGGATATTTTCTACTTCAGTATCAGAGAATTGCTCAGCATCATGAATCATTAGTCATTAATATCACCACCACTACCATCATCATCAGAATTATAAGTTAACATCTGAATTTTCTGCAAACTTTCCAATTCACAGTGTACATCTGGCTATGATGCCCCAGTGGTTAGCAAGCCAGTGAAGCTAATGTGGAAATAATTTTATCTTTTATAAAGACTGCAATCCTAGACTTGAGAAAAATAAATCAAGTAATTTATACATGGAAGAGTCAGGAACCACAACTTGGTTTTTGAAATCAAGATGTCATATACTCCTTTAGACTACAATTTATTTCTTATATTTGTTAATTATATACAGCTAAATATTCTTTCCTATGCATTTTCCCATCCAATTATCTCAATCCTACCTTAAAATAATCATCAAAGCAGGTGTTTATAAGAAAAAACTGTATGAATATCACAGTGGGCACAGAACACACATGCAAAAAAAAAAAAAGAAAGAAATCATGATAATAGAAAATTTTAAAAGTAGAAAACAAGAAAGCAACTTATAAAAATGATTCTTATGGAACAGTACTGTGGAGTAGTAGACAAAGCCTCTGTCAGCATTCCATATGGGTGCCAGCATTCCATAGGGGTGACAGCATTCCACAGGGACTCTGCCATAAAAATATGCAAATATTGCACGTTAATCAAAATTTTAAATAATAAAATTAAAAAAAATCAGATGTATGTTTGATTCAGCAAAGAGTTCCTAACACAGACCTCCTGTCTTCACCTCTGAGCATCATGGACACAATAGATGCTTAAATAAAGAATATGGAAGCACAAGAATGCTTGGAATATTATCTTGAGAACCTATGGCCTGCATACTGAGGTGTCCATTTTCAAGTACATAAAACCAATTAACAGGGATTCTACTTGGAAGATGTTTAAAAGCATTGTAAATATGATTTATTACTGACTTTATTTTCAAAAAGCATACAGAGAGACCATTTCATCACAGCTTTTAAGTGCTTGATGATCTCTCATATTTTATTGCATTTCCTCCTGGGTGGCTGGGTTGAAGTCACCCCTTGTTTCTCTGCCTTTTCAGATGTCTGAGGCACCAGCATACAAACTACTGATCTTTGTCTTCCCTTTTGCACCTGCTTAGGTGACGCACAAAATCTAAATGTGGCCAGGCCCCATTAGCTCTCTGAAAGCCTCCAGCTGACAGATATTCCTGTATACCTGGGGCATTTAGTGTTTTCAGCAACACTTTGAGTCTGAACTGTGAGAAACTAATGAATATGTTTTATCTTCACAAAAGCAAAATGTAGAAATAAATAAATAAGACAAAGGATTTGCTATCTGTAAGAAATTTCTAAGTTTGTTATTATTCTCCCTTTGTAGACTGGCATGTAATGTATTCACTTAATGCATTTAAAGGAACAAGGAAAGGAATTAGATTGTATCACATGACTGTGTAGATTAAAAAGACTACAACACATAGATGAGGCTACCCTTTGTGCTATGCAGACAGAAACTTGGTTCATATGTACACTTTTCTTCTATATGGGAAATTTGAACTGTTCCTACAAATGCTGTCTCTAGCTCATTTAGATAGAAGATGGAAAGTGGGAGGGGATACTCCTTAGATCCCCTATGAAAGGAAAGCCCTATATTTCCTAATTTGGAGAAATTAGAAGAACAAATATACAATGCACATTTGTTAAGTGCTCGCTGATTGTCTAGAAAATTTATATAAGTCACTTAATTGATTCTGCACAGGTGTCTTATGTTCTCTTGTCTAAGTGAAATTCAATCGGGCTGTGTTTTACATCCTTGTTACAATAATTTAATTGTTCCAAATAACAGAAAATTGATGTGCATGAAGAAAAAAAACAAGGTAACTCACAATTATTAGGGGCCTTTTCATTGCCAAGCAGTTCCCTCACAGAAACCTTGGTGAGGACTATCATATTGACGTGGCAGATGAAAATTCATAGCTCTAAGAGTCTACCTATGTTGCCAAACAAGATATAAGTTTAATAATTGGAAGACACATGGTGTGGGAAGAGGGAGTGTGTTAAAGCATTCTGTCCACAAACTTTTTTTTTAATCAGTGTTATCTGTGTTTCAAAAGTTAGTTATGAAACAAATCTTTTTTATTTATTTCTGAAATTCAGATAAACTGTTTGCCTTTCAATATATAATGGCATATCAAGGTTTAGAAAACACATTTTTTTGTCACTTCTAGAATTTTTCACCCTCCTCTTTCATGCACATAGTAGATCACTTTATTAAATTAATTGCTCAAAATTAGGTAGATTTCTCACTTTTATTTAGACTGGCTGCCCCTATTACCATTTAAGAGAGATGGTTAAGAATGAGGTCATTAAAAGATCCTGAAGAGTCTAGTCAGATCTAAATACACTGTGTTTATTTCTGCTCTTTAATGCATTCTTGTAGAGAAAAAAATACAAAACATTTTTTGTTCTGACTACTTCAGATTTCAGAATGAGCAAAACAATACACATGTTACTATTTTTTAAATTTTTATTTGCAATGCAGACTTAGAGAGAGGGAAAGACAGAAAGAGATCTTCCATTTGCCCACATGGGTGCAACAGTCAGGCTTGGGCCAGTCCCCACATGGCTGCAACAGATGGGCTTGGGCCAGGCTGAAGCCAGGAGCCAGAAGATTCATCCAGGTCTCCCATATGGGTGGCAGGAACCCAAGCACTTGGGCCATCCTCCACTGCATCCCTAGGCCAATAGCAGGGAGCTGGATCAGAAGTGGAGTAGCCAGGGCACGAATTAGTGCCCATATGGGATGCTGGCAAGGTAGATGACGTCTTTATCTCTTATACCACAACACAGGCCCCCGTTACTATTTTCCAAAATTCGATTTTTATTGTGGAAGAAATATGTGAGTTCTTTTCAACAGTGGTTTACCGGTGCAAACAGAACTTGTTTGTCCTGTACAAGTGAATTTTTATGCCCATTGAATGCAACTACGCCGTTTCCTTCCCTTTTCCACTGGCAACCAACCTTATGTTTTGTCTGCTGACTATCCTTGGTACCTCATGTAAGCAGAATCATGCACTATTTGTTCTTTTGTGACTGTTTTACATAGCATGATGTATTCGAGGATCCCCCGTGTTGTCACAAGTTGCAAGGTTTTCTTCCTTTAAAGGCTCAAGAGTTTTCCATAGTATATGTACAGTGTACCACATTTTCATTATCCTTTCAAACACTGCTGAACATTTAGGTTGTCTGCATAGTTTTACTGCTGTGAGTAGAAACTGCAATGAACAAGGTAGTACAAGTGATCTCACATTCTTGGAAAATATTCAGAGGTCATATTGCAAGCATACCTTATCAATTCATTGCCTTAAACTATCTACTACATTGTGCTCCAAACAGAATGAATAATTAAAGGGAGGGATGTATGCCTATGCAGATTTTACCTCCATAATGTATGGTTTTACATACACTTGAATAAAACACTTATTGCAACATTCTTTTTTTTTAAAAAAAATAGAGATTTATTTTATTTATTTGAATACAATGGTGCCAGAGAAGGAGAGACAGAGACAGAGATATTCCATGTGCTGCATCATCCCCCAAATTGGCCCAACAGCCCTGGGCTGGACCAGCAGGAGCCAGGATCCTGG